ATTAATGGAATAATCTATATTAATATACTATATTATATTAATATAATATACTAATATATTATATTTTTAATGTACATTAGTCGACATCCTGTCGACATAATAGGAAAAACTGTATTTTTTTTTGGTTATTTGGACCGATTTGGTCGACATTTCCGAAATATAGGAAATGTCGACCGATATAATGTAATTTTTATATTACCATCCACTTTCATGTCGGTGAGCCTCGACATCGACATATGTTGGGCGACATTAGCGACAGTTGGTGACATTTGAAACCATGGCATGAATTGACTAAGAACACCTACTGCATAAGCAATGTCTGGCCTAGTCATGGATAAATACAGGAGCCTCCCCACAAGTCTTTGGAATTGTTTTACATCTTGACAACTTCACCACAACAGTCACCCAGTCTATGATTTGGATCAATGGGAGAGTCGATTGGCTTAACCCTTGGTTTTCCTATATCTTGTAACAAATCTAGGATGTATTTCCTTTGAGAAATGATGATCCCCTTTTGAGAGCGGGCCACTTCAATTTCAAGGAAATAATGAAGGGGACCTAGATTCTTCACCTCAAATTGAGTGGCTAAGAAATCTTTTAGTCTTTGAATTTCAACCTTCCAGTCACCTGTGATCACTATGTCATCAACATACACTATCAAGGCTGTAATCTTTCCTTCCCCTCTTTTCACAAATAGAGTATGGTTAGTCTGACATTGTTTGTAGCTAATCTACTGTATAGCCAGATGAAACTTGCTGAACTAGGCTCTCGGTGATTGCTTTAGACCATACAAAGACTTCTTTAGTCTGCACGCTTTCTGCTCTTTGCCTAGGGCAATAAAGCCAGGAGGTTGGACCATGTACACCTCTTTCTCAAGGTCTCCGTTCAGGAAGGCGTTTTTAATGTCTAGTTGATGAAGATCCCAATCAAGATTTGCCGCAAGGGAGAACCAGAGAAAAAGACTTAATTGAGTTCATCTTGGCTACTGGGGCAAAAGTCTCTACATAATCTATACCATATACCTGGATAATCCCTTTTGCCACCAATCTAGCCTTGTACCTTTCTATCGTGCCATCAGCCTTATGCTTCACTGTGAACACCCACTTGCACCCTACCGGTTCCTTACCCTCAGGAAGATCCACTAATTCCCACGTACCATTTTTATGTAGGGCATTTATCTCTTCTTTCATTGCATCTGTCCATTCAGGTACTAAGAGAGCTTTTGCCACATTTTTAGGGATAGGGACACTGTCAATGGAAAAAATGAAAGCACAAAAGGAGGGTGAGATGTTCTCATAGGTAACAAAATGGGTAATAGGGATAGGGATACTTGGTGGTACAAGACCTAACTCCCTTCCTTTTCGTAATGGGAATGTCAAGGTCATCACTAGATGGAATATCTATGGCAAGAGGATCAGGAACATCAATAGGAATGATAGTACCTGGTTGGATATGATCTGTCCCCAGTGAATCTGATGATGTTGGCGGTACAGTTTCAAGTTGCTCCATAGCTCTTGAATTTAGCTGGCTCTTGCGACGACAAAAAACACGAAATGGAGGAGGGTCAGACAAAGGAGGGAGAACCTGAACCTGAACTGGTTTCTCCTCCACCTACACTCCCCCTGAGGAGAAATCGGGAAAAAAGGATCACTTTCAAAGAAAGACACATCCATAGAGACATAGTACTTCTTGGAAACGGGGTCAAAGCATCGATAACCCTTTTGGGAAGAAGGATAACCCAAGAAGACACAAGGAATGGTACGAGGATCAAGTTTTCCACGAGTAGGAGAAAGGTCCTGGATGAAACAACGACAACCAAACACACTGATAGGAATAGAGAAGAGGGGAGCCTTGGCAAAAAGAAGCTGATGGGGGGCCTTGTACCCTAACAAGTGAGATGGCATACGGTTGATGAGATAGGCAACACACAACCCAACATCCAACTAGAAGCATTTAGGAACATTCATGTGTATAAGTAAACCGCGAGCAACTTCAAG